AGAATTAGTTGCTAATTATTTGAAACAAAGAAGTTACTCATTCCACTTATTCGAAACATAAGAGGCAGGATTGTGAGGTTTTCCCACCTGTTACACAATCATGATGTCATGGCAGTGTAATTAGGAAAAAGTGACTCCCACTGAAACTTTAATCCCCTTCATTTCTATGACATGTTGTCTTTTCCTGCTAACATTCAAATCAGCCAAATCAGCATATTGGATGTTTGTGGCTCATTTTGACCAAAGGATGGGTGTGCCAACACACCGTGTTCTGTTCACAATGCAAATTACAAACATCTTTTCCAAGAGGGTCTCAGTGTACAGTATGACATCTGCTTTGGCTATTCTTCTGTCTGCAGCTGCCTGGTTGCAATAAAGTTTCAGTTTTTACTGCCAAATCAGCTTTTGGTTTGAAACGAAAGTGAAAAAAGCACATTTTGTACTAAAGCAGTGAATAATATGGATATTTTCAGTGTGGTGTCTCACCGAATCACTTGAGGATGTTAAAATACAGCAGCCGTGACCACAGCAGGTCCGACATCTACCGCTTTCACTTGTTACTCAAGGCTGTGAGTTGTTTGCATGCAAACAAGGTCTATATTGAGGATGGCTGCTGCTGATGAATGAGGCTTCTGTTCAGTTTAATAAAACAGACGGCAGCTTCTTCTTTGGCGTCTTTTTTCACCGTGCTGCAGCATATACAGCTTGATTATAAAATTTTATAAACAAAACTTTATGAGGCTTTGATGACTGCATGATGCAATAAAAGTAGAGCACTGATTATTTACGCAAAGGCTACATTACACACTACATTTTAAAAGTGATTCCAGCTGCTTTTTATGATCCCACTGATGTGCCAGGTTGTGTTTTTCCAGGTTCCGTAAAATATCAAACAATGTGCTTTTCATACTATGTTCCCAACCTGTACCTGCTGGATGACACCTAATTATCAAACTGATGCAGCACAAAGATTTTAAATATTTTAAGGCTGGTTTGGTCTTGATTTAAAAAATAAAACCTACATTTACAAAAAGACAGATGGGACTGAAGATATAAAGCCATGTCAGTGGGGAAGAGTGGCTGGTGTTGTTTGGTTCTGCTGACTTCACTGACTGAGCTGCTCTGTCTCTGGATAGCAGATGTTCGCTGGGAGTGTGTGTATTCATTTCATAAGGGAGTTGAGGCCTGGGTAGCCAGTCAGGGTCAGCCTGGGTCTTAAGCTCTTCATTTAGCAGCTTGCCAGGAGACGCTGCAGCGCTGAAAGAATGTGTGAACACTGCCCAGTTTGTGATTTAAAGGCTGCCCAGGATTTTGCCTCGGCCGCTGTGATACTATTTATACCAGTAGCTGTCCTGCCAGGGCTGAATGAGCTGGGAAACATCATCAGATTTTTCATCCCAAAGCCCAGGAAAAACGCGAGCACTCTGGGAGCAGACGCTGTTGTTTTTTCAAACTCCTGTTGAATTCAGGCATGGGAGAGAGTCGTCACAAGTTTCAGGCAGCGCCTAATGAGAGAATGTTTTCTTTTTGGGGATTTTTATTCTTGGCTGTGGCCTACAAAAAAACAACTAAACATATTCTCTCATAGGGAATAATATATTAGCTACTTTCATGTAAACTCTGGAGCACACACACATATGCAGAGTTGATAGTGCTCTGGTAATTACTGGTCTAATGGATCTTTTTATTTGATACATTGTGACGGCACACTAGTGGGGCTCATTACCAACATCAGTGCTGATACTGTTCAAGCTTATCACAAAACTCCTGTCTTTATGGGAGATGTAACAAAAAAGATCTCCTGCAGGCTGTCTAGATAAATGTTAATGGAAATCTCTTGACAATATTTAAAAAACAGTCTTCACTGCACACAAGGTTACATTATAGAGAGTACTGAGCAGTGGTTTATACATCATGACAAGGCAATTGGTTTGTGTTGTTGTGGTCGCTCTATTGATGCATATCATTTCCTTTTAAATGAATAATGAATTCAAAAGATGCAGATAATGAACTCTTTGAACAGCTGACATTATCAAGGGGACAGCAGGAGAGTAAGTAAGAGAGTTTCCATTTTAGGGTTCCCAAGCATGAAATGCATTTAGTGGCTGCCACCTGCTCATCTGAAGATAAAGCACCTTGAAGACACGCATTCAAAGGTTTGCTTGATATCACAATCAAAGAGTTTTGGCTTTCAAAGTATCATTTCAATTTCAAAGTATCATTTCAATTTATAATAATGACAATTATTATTGCTTGCAATAGTATTATTTGTCAAGTGTGTATTTTAATTTCATTGTTTACCTTCTTTCACATTGAGCTGTGCTGTGTTGGTGCCAATTATTGACTGAATCCTTGAATATTTAGGCTACACAGTAACATTATATTTTGAAGATTTGAATAAACCCAAAACCTAGTGTTACATCAAAGAAAATATTAATGGACTCTTTTTGTTATAATTGTTTTCATGTTTGACATTTGGCCACAATTACACTGGATTTACAGCTTGTATTAACAGCTAATCACACTAGGCAAAGTATTTGTGTACTGACCAATTATCCATTATGTGTCTTTCACACTTTATAACAGAAAAAAACATAAGGTACAGATATCGTACAGAAACACACTCTAAACCACACTTCCACTAGGATACTGCATCATTTTCACACAGCGGACTGCTTCTCTTACCTCCACCCCTTAGACTGTAAAGTCTCCACCTTAAAGAAACTACTAGTGGTGCTGTAATCAAATGCTGCATTTAAGTGCTGTTGGAAATATTTGGATGTCTTAGAGTTTGTACAGCACTGGATTAATCAAATGCCCAAAATTAGTAGAAAATATATTTGGGACATTTGTATGCCATTTCGTTTAACAAATTGTGATTGAGTATGGAAGGTGTGGGAATTGAAGAATTAATGCGTTTTACAATTGCATATTTTTTGTATTCTGTGCATGATATGTGTTTTATTTAAATTCTTACATCAGGTGTCACATGTGTAGCAATATTTGGAAAATTCATAAATGAAACATCTATTGAATATCACCACTTGTTTATTTCCCAACACAAAAACAGAAAGTTTGTCTGTGCTCATTGATTTTGGAAGTATACTGTAACAATTGCAGCCTCTAAATGAGGTGTATTTACACCATTAACACTGTGTATGGACAAAAGACAATATTATGTAGCCTACTCTTAAGATGTGTAACCTACTGCTGCTAACAATCCCCACAATCAAAATCTCACAAAATCTCAGTTGGTAGCACCTTCACTGATAACCATATTAAAAACTAAATACATGCCTGAAAGTGTTTTCCCCACTGGGAATCAGACCTAGAATCGTTGTCTATATTTACATGGACACAAAAAAACAATGAGAAAGGTTAGTCAAGAAAAATAACATAACCACTTTAAGACACACCTCTATGAGACTGAACATAACTACAGGGTTTACAGAAAAGTAATGGGAAAGTTACTGAGAGAAGTTTCATCTGACATGTGTTCTCTAAATTTTACACAGTCCTCAATATAATAATATAATAATAATAATAGGTTGAATAATTTAGCAGTTTTTATAACAAATAATATCTGCTCTTTCTTAAGTTCTTTTGATCATATCAAAGTGCTGACAGCAACACTTTTTTAATGTTAGCTGAAAAATGTTGCCAACAAGCATTTAAGCTAATGTCATAGACTGTATGAAAGAAGGCAAATGTAATGTAGGCCTACTGTATGTATCACATACACACAGCCTAAGTCACTCGCTTCCGCTTCTGGCCCATGGGACCTTATTTCGGGAAAAATATGTACGGTAGTCAGTGGCGAGAGACAACTTATTTTTTAGTCCTGTTTGAACTGTGCCCTGAATTACATACACGATGTTTGTCAATTTAAAAGTTAATTTTGTCCGGTCAAGAAAGTTGCAGTTTGTCGTAAAACAGTGAAGTTACGTGTCGTTTTGTGTGAAAATCATTCAATGAACTACATCTCTGTCTCACACAATATACCACCAACATGTCACTAACATGTTAGCGTGGTAATGCTATATGTTCATTGCTTGATTGCTGCTAGCTAGATAACTTAGCTATGTTCCATGCAGAAATACATCTCACCTGATGTGTTTAATCCAACGACTCTCAGTGCTTTTATCACATCATCTACACATGGAAGTTCTTTGACGTTAGCTTCAGTAATGTTAGCTTTGGTCATTGAGAGAAAAAGTTATGATGTCATATACACGACTTTTGGGTTTGTGGTCTTTGTAATTATGTATTTTCACAGTCTTATACCTTAACAGTTTTACATGAAAATGCAACTTTCTTGACTTTTAATTGTATATTTTAAATAGACCACCATCATATGTGTAATTCAGACCACAATTCAAAGGGGATCAAAAAATGTATTATCTCTTGCCATTGACTACCATACATATTTTTTCCGAAGTAAAGTCCCATGATGTTCCACCGGAAGGGGAGGGACTTAGGCTCTCTATTGAAACATATGAAAGTATCAGTTCGTTTCAGTAAGTTTTACTAAATTTACATAACGTTCCATACCAGATTCAATCCCCTTTTCTTGAGCTTTTAAAATAATTGTGGAAATATGGAAGCCCATTTCCGCCACTGTGATGGGTAAAAAAAGAACCTGTGGGTCCTTCTAATGAGAAACTTTCTCGACATAATAACTTATAGTATCTCAAAATAATTACTGAACAGTTCAAAATAATTACTTTTTTTGTTGTTCATCACAGTGACAGAAATAGGCTTCCATATATACCCTCACTTGACTGTTGAAACTTTAGATTAGTAAGGCAGTTGAAGGCTTAAATGCGGCACATAACGAGGACTTCGTGGTGTACAAAGGGCATTTGAAGGCAGCACGAGTCACGCCTCCCATGAATCCTGATTGGCTGCCAATTACCAGCTGGTGTCCCTCATTGGCGGTTACGCGTCCATTGAATCCCCTCCTCTACCTTTGTCAATTTCTTGCGCTCCCGTTGAAACGCCTGGTTGTTGTTTCCCCGGGTTAGGAGGAAGAAGTTGTCCACCTCGCTCTGTCGGAGGGTTGGGAACACAGAGAGAGGACAACAGACTCTATCGCGGCAGCTTCACTTTATGCTGTGACCAGAGGACGATCTGTAAAATTGTATGGAAAGAGAGTAGTGTGGGCTTGAAGAGAAGGCAGGAGGGATATAACCTACCCATCACCTTGTAGCACAACGCCGTGTGAGCGGCAACATTGCAACTCCTCAAGCCAGCGTGCAACACCGCTGCACTGGATTGTGTTGGGAGCAAACAAGGGAATGACATAAACATACAGAGATGGTTTGCTACCCGCGGGGACCTTCAGAGACACTACTGCTGCTGTGAACTTTTCTGTCCTAAAACTGTACAGACGAGAAGGGGGATTACGGAAAGTGCTTCTTCTTCTTCTTATCAGAAAAGGGATTAATTATGCCAGACCAAATCACAGTTTCAGAGTTTGTGGCAGAGACGAATGAAGATTATAAATCGCCGACTGCCTCTAACTTCACCACAAGGATGTCCCACTGCAGGAATACAGTGACTGCCCTGGAAGAGGTGAGTGATTTTGGTGGGACTGGGATTGTAGTCCCCAGAAACATCCGGCAAATAACCCACCACTAATCTGAGTAAAATAAGAATTGTGTATTCTCTGATGTTATCCTTCCATATTTACACAACGTTTAATCATACAAATTTTAAAGATATATGTCAGCTCAGAGTAGTGATCAATTGGTAAAGAAACCCCCCACTACATGCACCCCCATGCTCCATGTTTTTATTGTAACCAGCTGAGACATAGTTCATGAAGGTTTTTATTACTGTCCTGCTCTATTGTGTGCCATTATACAGTAGTTTTCATTTAATTACCAATTAGACAGCAACAGTAAGTCTGTAAATTACATGTATATAGCTTAAAGTCATATCTCACTTTGCTTCAAATGGCTTTACAATATATTCAACACATGACACCCTCTATCCTGAAACCCTCAATTTGGATGAGTAAAAACTCCCCTAAAAGACCCTTTCTGGGGTAAAAAAGGACAAAACCTCTGGAAGAGCAACCGAGGAGGGATCCATCTTCCAGACAGAGAGAAATACACGCTATAGATGCTGTTTATACAGAGTGGACAAAAACAGGAGTAACATTGAGAAAATATATATATATATATATATATATATATATATATATATATATATATATATATATATATATATATATATAAAACATGTGCAGTTCAAAGTGAGGAAAAAAGGACAATCCTCTACATATAAACCACTTTTAAGTATCAGTCAGTGCAAGTATTTTGGCTGGGTGATCATTCCCACAGTGATAAAAGGAGAAATAATCACACTGTTTCCCCGGTTTCCAGATACATTGCACTGTAAATGTGCACAGAGAGCACTCTGTGTTCTTCCTTTTAACTTGCAGGTCATCAGGAGGAAGGACACTTCCGCTTTGTTCCCTGACAGCTCTCCACCGCCTTCCCTCCTTCCCTTGTTATAGTTTCCCTACTTTGTGTGCTGTATGGCAGAGCCTCGCCCTGGCTGATGGTAAAAATAGAAGTTCCCACATGAGCATCTCGGTGTGTTATGGGTGTTAGTGTGTCTCTCCTCTGCAGATGCGAGGTGTAGTGTGAGGAAATCTTCCTGATTTTGCCGGGGAGAAGGTTTAGATGTCATCAGAATGGAATCATAACAGACAATTTTTACACCTTTTTAAAAAAACAAAACAAAAACATATGATACGTACAGAGACTGGATAAGTCGTTGGCATCTAATGTCGGTTTTACTCTAGCTAATCCACTTCTGTGTTAAAGAGTCAACTTCAAGTTAAGCGCCTGATCCTCCATACCTTGGTCAGGGCTCTGGCTTGATTTTTAATCTGTGGTGTTTGTTGACGACCAAGCCAGGCACTCAGACACACACCTGCTCAGGCCAACAGGTGCTTCACTTAGGCGTCAGACCCCTGTTTTGCTTCAAACTGCTGCTGCTGGTTTTAAAATAGCAATTAATCCGCTATTGGAAAATGACTTTAGCACTGCTTAAATGTAATGTGTTCTGTAGGAATAAACAAATAGGTGTGTGTGGAGGGCAACAGTAGCCCAGAAGTAATTGCTGGCATGTGAGGTTGGCTTTAGAATCAACTTGAGACAGGATCTGCTGTTGAAGCTGCTGAATTGTTTTTGCAGGGACGTGGAGTAGCGTGTTGTTGTTCCACATTGACCTCCTCAGGCTCAGGCTCAGGGAACACAAGGCCTTATTGTTGGGACAACAAGGCCCCGCTCACTATGGTCTGTTTGACCAATTGCACACTGCAGTGGATGAGGGACACTTTCACTTCTTGTTTGCCAGCCTGCCTGGAATCTCAAACACACGCACCCAAACAAAAACACATTTACAAATATACATATACAGGCATCCACAAGTAGCTGGTATTTTATTTACAAGGTTCAAAATTGGCTCTTTTTTATATTCCTGTTAGCGTTTCTTGAAAGATGTGACCATCAAGAGGACAACTTTCACCCTCAAGTATAATAATACATCCGCATACTGTATATTTATGAAGACTAAATGAAAATTCAGATTTAGCTGTTTTCAGCATTGTGCTGAGTTTCAAACATTGTGCTGATTCCGAACTTCTCTAGAATAACAGCTTGCTATGTAAGCGCTCACTTGAAAGCTTTACCCTTGAACTGACAGCTGAGGAGATGCTGATTGGAGCAACACTGTGTTCTGTAACAGTGGGCTGGTATATCATTTTAAGTTTTGTGAATTGGCACCTATGAGTTTTGATAATGGTCTGTCTGATTTGTTGCTGACTTCAAGATTTTTGAACACAGTCTCTTGTTGGCATGCTGTTGTTGTTTTAGTTCATAAATATTCTGGATATGATAATGCTCTATTGGGAGGGGAAAGGTATTTTTATAAACATTTTAATATTATGTGCATGTATTTGGTTTGGAATATGCATCTTAAAGCATATTTTGGAAGTGCAAATTAGCAAGCAACAGTAGAGAATGGTTGTGCATTGTTGCATTCTTTAAAATAATACTGATTTAGGATCACAATCCTAGAACTCTGTTGATGTCCTGATGGACAGTTTAAAACAAAAGTAATCACTAGAGACCATTATATGGTGCCAGGGCCATGTGAAAAGTGAGTTTGCTTAACTGTGCCAGATTTATTCAGCATGCCTAACCCTCCTTGCAGGGTCAAATTACCCTATGTTAGTTTTGATATGCGTATATATGTGTTTTGCTGAAATCCCTGGTTTGATACAAGGAATGTACAACATTAAACATGGTTATTGTTTACTGTTCGACAATGTTCGAATGTGTCATTAATGGCATGAGATAAATAATTAGTTGTTTGGCAAGAACACGAACATTGAATGTTGGGAGCTAGTTCAGCTGTTAATATTATACGTACATTAGACTGTTTATTTGGTTAGGCAAAGGTAAATTATTAAGGATCTAATGGTTGTTCATGTTAGTTGTAGTTGTTAGTTGCTGAATTATTGTATGCTAAAACCATATGCTTTTTTTGTCTGCCTGGATCTTGCCATCTTGGCAAAGCTAATTCTATGACTTCAAAAATGATTCACTACTCTCATTTGTTGAAAAAGATTTTATCAGATTCGTTTTGAATGTTCTACCTCAGATTTGTTAAGTGGTTAAACTTTTGTGGTTAAACTTTTCTTGCTGATCAGAATTTGGAGTAATTAACCATCTGGTTTCTTCCATTTTCACTCAGTAACAAAAATCTGCCTTTAAACTTGAAATAAAAAATTATTTGATATATCGAATGATATGAAATGTTTTTATCATGATAACATTTTTGGCCATATCACCCAGCCCTATTTGAATTGCGTGCAAAATCTGTCCAGAGACATATAAACAGACTGACTGACGAGGTGAAAACAATACCAGCCTTGCTGTCATGGCTGATAAAAATCAGTGCAACAGAACCAGAGGTATAATCTTTTTTCTTCCATGCATTCTTGTTCTTTATTTAATACCTGGCACCTACATTACCTACAATGCAACAGTTTGGTTGTGTTATGCTAGTAGCAGCTAATGTAGCCTCGGGCCGCTACCCTCAAGCAGAGATGAGGAGAGGGTTACAGAAGTCTGGTGAGATCATTCTTTTTCATTTTCAGAATTGTAGTCTTCAGCCCGACCCAACGCAGACTGAAGTGACATTACTTGAGCCAATTCATCTGACACAAAGAATATGTACAACTCTGCCCAAGACTGTAAACAGACTTTGACGTGTAAAATTGATGGAGGTTCCCCCTTTTTGAGCAAAGCCTTGCCATTTGTTTACACTCTAAATCACTAATACATCTCTTCTTTTGACACAAGTTTGTTTTTTAAGAGGGTGTAACTTGTTGACAAGGGAGATTTAATCTGTTAGTAGAGGGGTGTGGTTAATGTGTAAATCTGCTGTACCAGATGGTTTAAGTACTGCTTTGTGTTTGGTACTGATTACATAGAAGTTCTGCTCCCCAATCTTGTTACCAGTGAGAACAAAACAGGGATAGAAACAATTTAAACACAAATCCATTTATAGCAAGGTTTTCAATTCTGTCCACAGAGTAATTTTAATCTTAATAAATTATTATTGACAACATTCACAGTTTTGAGCTGTTTGGTAGATCTTCTGAGCTTTGTTGAATGTTTAGGCTTTAAAGATTTTCCTTTTCTCCCTCCTTGTTCAGACCATCTTACCCCAAATGTATGAAATAGAGTGCATCCAGTGCTCTGTATTTCCAAATCGAGCTTGCACTTGTTTAAAATCGCTAATGCACTCACAGCCTCATCTCCTTTAAAACCTTTAAAACTGACCTGGGTCTGTTTGTTTTCAAGAAAGCCTTCGAGAACATTAATAGGAGAGGGGACTCTCAAGCACTCCGAGGTTTTGCGGAAATGGGTGCGCAAATGTTGCGTAATTACTTTTTTCTAAACTTAATTGCATCTGACACAACTTTAATTAGGCTAGTAGTTTAAAACTGCTGGCTATAGAGGCCTTACAGAGAGCTTGTGTGTGTTTGTGTATGTGTGCTGCTAAAACCACGGTAATAAAAACCTGTTTATCCAGTAAGAGGATGTTGGGATTTGTGTCATGACCCCCCTTTGTGCGACTGTAGAACACGGCTTTTCTTCCTTCACACTTGTGTTGACTTTTGGAAATAAGAGCTCTGGGATCTGGTTTTTCCCGTTAAGTTTCATTCAAAATGATGAAAATGGCAAGTAGTGACTGCTCTCGTACACTGGGGATGCTATGATCCACTCCTAATATTAATCATTCAAAACTTTGACATTTTTGTGTGTAGATTTTCTGATTACCCTTATGAGTTTTGACATATGCGAACACCTCCAAACAGTTTCACAGGAGGCTCGGTGAATGGAGGTGAAAAAATATTACGTTAGTTATCAAATTACGCACCTTTTTCCAAGCTTTGATTGAGGGGAGGCCCTTCAGTTTCAGACTTTGAAAACCCTTGTGCGAAGTACATCTTGTAGAATTTCTTGTGAGACATTGAAATGCAGAAT